CAGGGGCAATGATCATGGCAGTAAAATACCCAGAATTCCCTGCCTTTCCAGTATTGATAAGGCAGAGATTACAAACTAACCTTTCAACCTAACCTGCCAATTTCCTTGGAGCGATATGTTAAATACCATTCTTCTGGAATATGATATTATTTAATGATCTGTTTTCACTCTTACTTTGTGATGTCATAGCCTTGACAGATAGACAGCCCACACAGGAACCAATCCTGCCGTTTGGGTCTCTCGCCAAGATACTTGACGATAATGTTAGCTCCCATACTAAACCCAATGCTGATTAAATGACTGCTGGGGAATCTCTCCCTGACATGATCCACAAGCACGCTGTATTCATCGGTGTCACCTGATCACAGGGGAAAAATATCAGTTCAAACATCAAAGTGTTCCCACATAAGCTGGCTATTATGGGGCTGATGAGCAAACTATGTTGCTGCCCAGCCTGGCAGAACGGAACTGTCCTCACATCTGAGCTCAAAATCACGGTATTGCAGGGCTTCAGCTGGCAGTCATCAAATAGAAAATATTGTACAAACCTTGGCTGAAGTCCGGAGCAACTTGTGTGTAAAAATTGTATTGAGTGACAGCAAAAATATGTATTAAGCTAGTCCTTTGAACACTGGAAAAGAGTCTCATATCTGGCCAACACAATTCTCGAGTTTCATGAAGTTTGCCCTTACTAAATGAACTGTTTTTCAAGCACAGCAATTAAATGTACATAGTATACTCACATCATCATAAATGCAGGTGCACTTAAGATGTTTAACCACAAGCTGCTGGGTGCTTTTAAAAATGCACTGCACACATACGGGGGATTTTCATGATTTTCAGTTTTCAAAATTCTTCAAAACTCATCATTTCATTTCATGGACGTTACATTCACGAATGACTGTTTGGAGGCTACTCTAAGATGACAGGCAACCTTCATTGACTGCTGAATATTTCAGCCAGGCTTGCTGCCCAGTAAAGAGAGCCCAGAATTGTGAGGTGTTGCATAATTTCCTTTGTCCCCAGGGAATGCGAGTGGTGTCTTTTTAAACGCGGCTGGATTAGTGTGCAGCAGTGATGTGTCACTCATCAATGGGGCCCTGAAGCACTTTTGTCTGTGGTGCTCATCTGTAGGCACGCTATGCCCAAAACAGCGGTATACTGTTTAAAAACAGTGACGGATTACCTTCAAAAAATGCAAGCCGAAAAATGATGGCAATTCCCATCAGCAGGTCCTTTGTTCCGAGTACAGTCTTTTGTTACAAAGACCAGCTCTCTTGTCCCATTTTGGGCACCCCAGCTCTGTGTATAAACCCATGGTGCTCGAAATGGGGTTTCCCGGCAGCAAGTCGTTAAGGTTTGCAGAGGTTTTCTGCTGATAATGAAGGCAGCACACTTTCTCTGCTGGTTGTTAAAAAGAAAGCTCCACAGGCCAAAAGTGGATGTGTAACCACGAATGGGAATCTTGCCCAGATTGAGCTGAGTCCCATCGTCCCATCAGTTTTTTCAGGAAAGCTTCTGGGATCCGACCCTTGTAGGCAGTTGCGCTACCATAGCTTATTCCAACTACAAACACTTCCAATTTTCACACTAAATTACAATCAGGTACCTGACTAAATCTGACAAGCAGGATTCATTTGTGACCTGTCAAAATGAGAGTAAGGTTGCATCCCCCTCTTTCCTATTTGGAGGGTTCAAAGTCATATTGAAGTGGAGGTCAATTTTTGGGTTTTGTAATATTTTGAAAGAGTAACCCGTCTCCTATTTAATTCCAAATATTTTGCAGAATCACATATTTAAAAATGTCACTTTCTTGCAATTTTGAATTTTAAAAATTTTTAATTTTATTATTAGTGCCTGGTCTGAAATGTTGAAACAATGTCGGGAACAAAGACGCAAAGCTGCCAGAATAATGTCACATTGTCACCTTGTACTTCTACCCTAAGTGTTCCATGTACATGCCATGGGAGAGCTATATTTCTGCTGAATTCAAAAATACCAATATCTCAGTTTTTGAAAATTCAAACTTTCAGCTCATTTTGTGGTGACAGGTCACATTTTACTCCTTTCTTACCATAAGTGAAAATTCTTGGAGATGTAAGAGGCACTGTCGGTAGGGAACCAAGGTGGTTGAGGACAGCTAAACGGAACCCTTGCGATTGGGCAAAAGCGATGAAGGTTCTGACGTATGCCTTCTCGCTATTATTGGCTATCCCTGGTACTACGCACATGGTGAAGTCACCTACACACAAAGACAGCAATGAGTAATACAGCAGTCAGCAAAGCTCAGAAACACTGACCACTCAATTTGATGCAGATAGAAAAAGGTCACGTCAGGCAACTGTTTAGGGTCATAGGTTGCAATCTTTACAATAACCACCAGGGCAACTACTCTTTGTCGCTGCACTGAGAAGATGACTTTCTACACAAAGCTACACAAAATGTATTCATTATCTTCGTATAATAAGAAATTACACATTTTTGAAAGACTAGATAGTCTTTCAGCTTAGAAAGCTTAGAAGCTTAGAAAAAAACAAAGTTTCATTTGAGAATTTGAGATTCAACCTGCACATTACATTGCTTAAAACAAATGACGTTCTTCCAAAAAGTGCTCGATTAAAAGTTTTCTCCAACAGCAAAAACACTGTATGTCACATTTTAAAAATTTTCAAAATTAGTTCATCGAGAAGTTGCTTTTTATACAAAATCTAAAACCCACATTTTAAGAGAGAACACCTGTCAAAAAGTAAAATTTTTAATTACCTCCAGTTGAGTGGCTTGCTGTTGGCTCAAATATATCAAACGTAAACGTGGCACCATCTGGCATGACGTGGGTACAACGCTCTCCAGTTGGCCATGGTGCGCTGAACCTGCCAATCTTTGCATAGATTGTTGTCTGTAGGTGACCGGACCTACCCCACAAGAATGTAGGCACGTACCTGTGGAAAGATTGAAAGAAGCCGTGGTTGTGACAAGGTCAAAGGTCAACTACCAAGGTTCTGTCAGGGGTAGAGGCTGGGAAGTCATTTCTTTGCCTTTCTGATCCTCACTTTGAGTTTAAGCTTCACAGAAAACAAAGTGCGTGCCCAATGCAAGCGCCTTGTTGTCTCACTTATTGCTGCTATTCGGTTACTGCACCGATTCACTCCCAATCACTGATTGTATGATAAACGCAGTCGGGATCTGTTGGTCTGGGAATTAGACAGCAAAAAAAAATTCAATGCCGCTTCTTCAGTGACTGGACAAGCAAGTGGACAAACATGAAGAACCTGAGTGTTTGTAAGTGAATGCAGTTAAATGAAACAGCTGTTGGGTGTTTCCGTGTTTGTATCAAGCCGCACATCATTATACACCTGAGTGGCGATGATTCACACACAATCCCAAGGAGTACATGAATTGTGGTTCACTATTGTTTAAAGTGTGGCTGCAATTCTTTTGTCTAAAACACAACTTTTCTGCAACTTTATGTGCTTCTTCAACGTGCGAAAACTATCTGGCTTTTCTTTATTTTAGCCCACTCTCTTGAAGAAGTAGTGCTTTATTGAAAGAGGCTATTCAGAGAAAAGTTGGGGCCACAGGGCATAGCTCTCTTCATGATTGAAGGGTTTCCAGTCACTGTACTCACGGCTCTGTTAATATTGGGCAAGCTTGAAGAATACGATGCACAAATTTGGAGTTTGCATGGAGGAGGCTTGGTGGTTCTGTCTTCTCGGTCAGGCCAAGAAACTTCACAGCGATGACGTAGACAAGTACTGCAACTGAAACGATGACCCACGCCTCCATTTCGTGCTCTGAACTTTGAGAAAAGAGAAGAAAGCTGCATTGCCAAAAGGAAAAAAATTAATGTCTGGAGCGCTCAACAGGAGTGAACAATTGCTTGATTATGCCACCAGCCTTGTATGAAATCTTTATGTCTCTTTTTCAAAATGATCTTCCCTGATAATTAAAAAGAGAATTTGGTCAACTGATTCATAATGGTGGCAGGATCAACAGGCACTGGCCAAAAGTTCAACACAATGCTCTGGGAGCCCCGTGGCGGTCCAACAGAAAATTGGGCTTCAGTAACCCTGAAAATTCGTACACTAATGAGACCTTGATAAAACACATGTACATGAAATTCAAAAATGCATATACATGTACATGAAGAGCTGTCTAATTTTGTCAACTAATTGGTGAAAATACTTCTGGAGTTTTTGATCGTTTCTTTTTTCGGGTTGTCGAAGTTAGGAATATCTCATTTTGTCACAGGGGTCATTTGGCCATTCCATGTCGTTCTCGCTATTTCTAGCAGTAGGAACCAGTTTACCGTGCACTGCTTTTCCCACTCCTCATGTTTTTGTACATGACTCCACCACACAACTTGCGTGATACGATACAAGTTGCTTCATGTTTGCATGAAAGACAGCAGGGTTTGCACAGTACCACTAATGACAGCCATTTTTATATTTGATTCCCTGCACCTTTATACAAATACATTGTGTACTTATGAAAAAAATCATACAATTTTAAATGACACCTACATGTGTGTTTGCCATCAGATTATGCCATATATATATACGGTGCGGGTGCACCCACCCAGCCTGTGCATTGGTTTAACAGATAACGCTCAAAATAAGAGCTTCCATAGCTACAGCAGGGTCAATTGCGCTTTTCCATGTATTCGAAACCTAGCTCTGGACAGATTTCGATGCAGCCAACAAGTCCAATGAAAAACCACCTTCACCCATGGAGTTACACACTCTATATGATACATGAACACAAGTCTTTCTATCTGTAACTGGGAATGAAATGAAAAAGACTGCAGCTATGGAACGCTGGCGCGGTGTGCGTACACGTAGTTCATGTTAGTCAAAAACCTAAATTCTTTCCATTTGTTAATGACAAGTGAATTTCGATTTTCAAAAACTTACCTTGACCCATCCAGTCACCATTAGAAAAAAAATCAAAATTAAAAACATTGAACATTTTGAGTGGCCTCTAACCCACAAACAACTTCATGTAGACTACAGTATGTTTTTTACTTGCACAAATATAGGCCTACCCCTAAAACTGTGAGGTCCAACATCTGCCCTGCTCTCACAAGGGATCCTGCCGAACCCCAGTTCTGGGGATTGTAAATTTGGAGACCCATTCTCTATAACAGAAGGGAGAGCTACATTTTAACTTTTGGATTCACCTTAGTAGATGACTGTGACATCATGCTCAATAACCATAAGGTTAATATTGTCTAAAAAGGGCAGGGTTTTGAGGGAAATTATGAGGGGAAACTGTGAGTGTTTTAACCCATGACAGTGCAACTACAGAAAAGAGCTTGAAAGTTCACCCCTGATGGCACACTTCCAGAACCCTTCGATAGGAAAAATAATGTGCAAAAATTTTAAAATTTGTAATGTTTTTTCATTCAGTTACTTCATTGTAAACTCTACTCATGAAAAGGCCTTCTGTAAAATATTTGATAACATATCAATTTATGTGGGGGAGGCATAATATATAATACCTACATATACGTGTAATTAGTCCTACACAGAGAGCGATGAAAAGTGGACGGACCATATTGCAAATTATCAAAAGTGGGAGGGTGTTGCTCCAGGCAACCGCGCACCCAGATACCTGCTCACATCCAGGCATCTTCATATCCAGGTATCTTCACATCCAGGCATCCAGAAATACACTGTATAGTACCCTCTCAGGCCAAATTCTCCTTCTCTCGACTTTGTAGCCACATAGCTGCCAACCAGGAACTCAGTTTGGACTTAGCATTTTTGCCATTCATTCTACATTGCTTCATTCTCAAAAGCAACTCTTTCAGCATCATTTCTGATTGTAGGACTCTAGGAGGTATGGGGTGGCATGGACATCCAGGACTCTCCCAAAATGGTGGGTAGTATTTGATGGAAACAAATACACGACGTACGTGTGGACCAGCCAGTCAGAGAATAAGATTACACAATCATTCTTTGATCAGCGCGTACATGCGCATTGCACTTGTTTTCATCAGTTGCTACCTACCATTTTGCAAAGCTCCTGGGTGTCCACACCGCCCCATATTCGCGCATGCCGGCTCTGCATTCTATGGTCACTGGATGATCTCACATTCCAGAATTGGAATCCACTGTCTGACCCTACCGCGCAGCTATGTATCATCTAGTCTACAAAAATGTGGTTCTCGTGTGGCCCTGCATTCTGTGCTGAATTAGGCCCTAGGCCGTCACATTTTCTTATAATTTACAATTTAAAATTTCCGAAAAATAGGGTCATAAAGAGAGTGTTACCTCAGTTTTGTAAGATCAAAATGACAAAATACCGGGGTGTCCACCCATGTCGTACATGTACATGTATGTATCAACATGATCAAGTACCATTGGCCTATCTGCCTACCTTTTCTTTGCGCTTCAGTGCAAGATGGTGATGGTGGTGATGACGATCAAGATGATGGAACACTTTTGAGTTCGTTACTCCCTGTAAAAGACAGCTGGTAAAAGAAAATCATATCCATGTATCTACTGCATATCAAGAAAAATGATGAACTCCGGATGTCCACGTAAAACTTTCATGACGGCACGACCAACTGCAGTGCACATGTAGGCCTCCGTGAAGACTTGAAGTACATGTACATGTTTCGCATGCATATAGCGCGTGATGATCAAACGGTGTATCGGTTAATTTACACCGGCCTCGTTAATGTTCATGCACACATATACAATGAAGTGCGACCTCAATCATTACCGAAAGGCCAACCAGCGATGACAGGCTCTGGACAACTCTGAGTAGCCAAATACCACACACGTAGTGACGTACTTCTTTTTCAGTGATTAGAACATCAAAATTTTATTTGAGATCCAAGGGGGATCAAAAGTCTGTTGATGGAGCCTGACTACCATTTGCATTAAATGGGAAATGACAGTAAACTGAAGAGATCACACCTGTTACATGTACCAATAAAACAGGATATATTAATAGATTCTAATTCAAGTTTATTGGTATTACTTTTTATTTCCAACCAAGATCTAACTTTTTTAATAGGTTGCTTCCAAACACAATTAAGTCTGTGGAGAGCATTCATCAACTTTTTTGAAATTCACTCTTCACAATATTTTTTCCACATAATAAGCCACACAGTTAAAGCTGATCTGAGACTCCTTTAGCAACAAACACAACAAAGCCAAGCCACATGAGGGGCAAACTCTCATGGATTCAATCACATAAGCTGCTACTGTATCACTATTTAATGGACATAACGGTCAAAACCAGCGTAGATGACTGCATTACAAGATGACCTTTATTAATCAATCACCAAGCAATGTTAGTGAAATGCTTTTAGTGAAGGACGAAATGTCTGAAAAGTCAACAACAGTTTTATTCAGACACTAGATTTCAATTTCAACTATTAAATGCTTGGAATGTTAAATCTCTTTGCATTTCTGACATATCAAATCTGAAATACATCCCACAATTGCAGACATATGATATGTCTGAGTAGTAAAAATCCAAGGTTTACATTTCAGGCATTTAGTGTTGAAACATACAAACCTAGATGTAAAAAAGATACACCACATCGCTGTATGCAGAGCTAGTGCTTATAGTACAGGTCCACTGGACCAATTCAGGAACAAGATCATCTTAGACTAGACCAATTGCAGATAAGGCACCATTTCAAAATTCTTATCACGTAGGTTTTGGACGGAACGGTCTGACCGCTACATTTATTATGGGTTGGCTATCAGGTGAAGTGTTCTCAAGTGGCCAATACTAACCGATAAATGCCTCTACATTGCATTACTCCCATGGCTATGTGGTTTCAGTGGAGCAACACCCCCCCCATTATTCACTCAACACAAGTCACTTGTTATTATCTATATATCAGTCGGAGGGCCCTGTCCTATAGTCAACCAATAGGAATTTTGAAATGATACGTAAAGTAGCTGCAAGCCAGAGTATGAATCACAGACATCATATACAAAAATCTTGAATCGCAATGCCCTTAATTTAATTAGCCCACACAAGTCACTGATTCCACCGCCTGCCATCTTACCATGCCAAAAAGGTTGTGCGAAGGCTTGGTTACTATTGTTAACCAAATGACAGTGGCAACAATAGTTGCAATGGCACAGGAGTCATGATCACCATTGTATTTGGCATGGTAAGATGGCCGCTGGTGGTTTCAGTCGGTACAAGAGCACTGCGAGTCCAGACTGTTTTATAGACATTTTTACGTGACAGTCAAAGGTTGACTGTCAAAAATCACACTACTGAAAATCATTTATTTAACGTCCATGGTATAAATTGAGGTTAAAGCCACAACAGCACCCTCTAGTGTCCCAACACAAACAGACAATAATTTAAAACAAAAAAACATACCCAACTCAAAAACTTCCTGCTTAACTAAACAACAAAACAGCACCATGTTTGGTCCAGGGGGGACTTGGAATAAACAGTGCTTCAGTTATGATTTGTAGTGAAGTGGGCTACTCCTAACTGGGCAATCATTCCCAGATAGGACCATTTGGTGTTCCATTTAGAAAACAGTCAGCAATGCCCAATTAGAATAGGCAATCTACCAGGCATGATTACGAAAAACAAGCTGTACCTAATAAGCCTTTTGCAAACTTTTGCTTAGTTACAGATGCCTTCCATCAATACACCGTTTTCAATGGGTAAGAAAGGCACAAAGGAACCAGTCAATTCCACAGGTGGTAGTTGCTATGCAAAAGCTTGCCCTGAATCACGAGGTATAATAACGGTGTCTTTAGCCTAGAGAATTCAAATTGTGTTTATGTGCGATCAGATAACTCAGTGTACCAGATTTTATTCAAACTTAACTCGCAAAAGGCTTATTTAGGCAATCATTCCGAAGCTGTTCCCATGTAAGCACTATGCAATCCCAAATGGAACAGTGGAGTGTTCTGCTGTTTTAAAACACTCCACATGGGAATCTTAATTGTATGTCACCATGAATGGGCATCTCTGATGAACTACAAAACTTGTGCCATTTCACTGGCATATAGTTAACAAACTAGAACTTTCCCCCAACTATACTGTAGGTCAACAAAAAGGGGAGTTTTGGAGAAGCACAATATGACCTTTTATACACTTATTTATTTATTCATTTAGGGGCCGCCCATATTTTTCATCATTTTCACAATCATACGAACCATACAGGGGGAGGGAGTTAGTTAAAGACCCCATGTACACTTTTCTGAATATGAAAAAGTATGATTCGTCAACATGCAAATCGGCGGTCACTTTCAAGTTTCATGGGTGTTTCTAGCTAGCTCTACGCCGCTTCCTTTATGCCACATACGCACGTTCTGTTTTATCCTCCACTAGTATTCACTGTTTTTTAAGCCTTGACTTTTCAGCTGTTGTTTTAAACAATGTTTTATTTGAAATTAACATTTTTGTTAACTACAATACTTAAATGTATATCACTGTGCCTCGGCAATAAGGGATTAGGCTAATGGAGCTCTCCACCTATAATCATTTCTTACCCGCTGATGTACATGAAGGGGGGTTAGTGAAAAGTCTACTTCTTGTACACTTATGAAAATGATGAGAATTATGGCTGGCCCCTTACTTTGTTTTTTTAATACCAAGGTAATCCCATCTGTTATCAATGAAATGTTCTCCCTGATGAGCCTGGAAGATGTGTCAACCACTTGTTCACTTGTCTTTTCTGGTATATAAGTATTCCAATCTGATGGAGTAAGACAATGGAATTTGTTCTTAAGTGCAATTTTTTTCTTGAGCCTATCAGAACACAGATGAGCCAGTGTAAGTGGCAGTGATCTGCATTCCAAGTCAATGTGAGCTGAGGAAACTTGCTGTATAGTATTGAGGTCATTAATGAAGTACATTATGTCCATTCGTCTTCTGGAGGGGCATGTGGAATGGCGTGTCTGGCCTCGTAAGATCCCCATGAGTGCCCTCGCTCTCTGTCATCGTAACGTCTCCCCCTCTGGTTGGGTGGATATCCGTGCCCATCCCTGGCTCTCCAGTCAGGGTGGCGGTGGTACTGACCACCTGACTGGTTTCCACCATGGTGACCCCTTTGTGGGTGACCCCACCCCCTCCCTTGGTGATGATAGTCTTGGTTGTCGTATTGTGACCTTTGTCGCTTGCTGTTGTCATAGAAACCTGCACCCTCATATCTGCGCTTGTGGCCTCTGTCCTCATATGTTCTTGAATCCCTGCGGCTATGGAGGAAAAAGCCATAAGGTTTGAAAGGCAAAATCTTGATAGTGCAAATTAAATGAAGTCTTGATTTTTCAGTAACAGGTTTTACCCTCACACTGGCATATATATGTAACACTGGATACTCAGTGTTTGTCCAAGAGCTTGCAAAAAAATTCACGAGCTTACTTGGGTGGGACTCAAACTGAATACCGAGTATCCGATGTTTGATACATATACATTGGTGTAAGGGCAAAACACGTTATTAAACAACTTAACATCTCCCCAACGCAAAGTACATCTATTAAATAGATTGATTTACCTTAAAGTTTTATAGAAAACAAGATTTTAATCAAATGACTAACTGCTTCCAAAAACCTGAGTACAGTTCAGTACAGACAATGAGTAAAGTTCAGGAATTCTGCAGTCTTGGTAGGGGCACTGTCTTAGCACAACTTAGCTGTCAGCTTGTATTGAGGAAGACGACTAAGACTTTTCTTTTGCATGTATTTGTAAGGAGGACAGCGGATGTTTGGCAAAATGGGTAAACATACTTGTCATTCCAGTTGGATCTCTGTCTGAGGAAGTAATTTTCAACGATTGGGGGCGGGTCCATTCCTTTGTCCATGTAAGGTTGATAGGCAGGATCCTCCGCAGTGTACCTGGAGGCAAACATTGACTCGTATCTGGTGATGATGTCATTGGTGTCTGAAGTAGACCCTGTGCAGCTATCAGTGACTAGGGGTTTGTCTTCTGCTGTTTTATCCATCACTGGAGGCATCAAAGCTCAAACGTGTGCGATACTGCAACCACGGCTTTAAGTCAAATCACTGACGTAGGTGTTCGCAAAAATCTGCAGAAAAGAAAGCATTCAAGTTGGCTAAATTCTTCTTTTTTGTTTTGAACGGACAAACAACTCAGATTGAAAGAAAGCATGCCAAACCTTTTTAGAGCCCTTGACTTTGCGACCAGCTTGGGTATCCCAAGCTGTCAGTGTGTTCTGTACCTTCAGCAATTGTAAAATTCCACATGAGCATTCAAGCTTTGATTTCTGAGGCAAGTCTAGACAAAATGAAGAAAGTTCACATCTCCAGACTAATCTAAGACAAAAGACCAGGACTAGGAAGTGCAATGCTGAGTATCCCATGATCTTTGCCCTTTTACAATATTGGAGAAAATTTTTCTCACAATGTGTAAGTATAGCTTTGTTTTAACAAACCATATACTTTGCTATCATCCAGTGAAACAGCAGCCACTGAACTGATTCCATGATCATAATGGTTCAATTTGCCCCCTTCAGAGTGGGTTAGTGCATGGCAGAATCAGTCAGGTAACCTGCCATGAAGGCCAGTGAACAGGATTTAATCCCCCAGTCAGACGAGGGGGATTGCAAACTTTTTTCCCTACCCAAAAAGTTGCAATATCATCCTTTGATGTTTTAAATTGAATCCAAGTTGAAAAGCAGGATATCATTGTTTTTGTGATCCATAGCTCTGGAAGATCTCTTTTGAAAGCAAAAAATCCCAAATCGTACCAGGCCTGAATCACATCTTGTGAATGCTAACTCACAATGACAATATTAAATAGGGAACCAGATGAAGATTTGTCACAGCATGTTTGGTTACCACGCCAACAAAAAAGCAAAAAGTATATCGTTTCCAGTTCATGGTCCAATGCCCATTACTGTGTAGATTTAGGTTGACACATCTAACATGTCCAAGAGTCAGAAACTTCAGACACTTTGAACAACAATACAAGAAAACAGACAGGTTTATAAATATAAGGCAGAAGACTGTCTCCTGTATCACTGAATCAACTCAACTAAGGACCACATCAACCTGCAGCAAGACTCAGAAAACCTGGCAGCCTGGGCTCATCCATGGGAATGTGCTTCAATGCAATTAATGCTTCAATGCCAATAAATGCGGTATATTGAGCATCTACAATAAATCAGCATAGCTGTATAGTCTCAATAACGCTTTTCTACAGCAAGTGTCTAACATCCGTAACCTGGGCATACAAATTTCAACAGATCATCAAAAAAGAGCCGGTGCCACATTAGGATTTCTATGGAGGAATTTCAAACACGACACGCAAAGCTGCAAACAGTCTGGCTATGCGGCCTTAATGTGGTCAGCCGTTGAATGTGGGGTAGTAGTCTGGGACCCCTGCACTGCAGCAAACATTGACCGTCTTGAATGCATTCAAAATGCCGGCTTCATCACAGGTGACTACAAATTACAGCATACAGGATCTATCACCAAAATGCTGCAAACCCTGAAATTGCTAACTCCTTATCTTCAGGAGAGATGAAAACAACTACGTGTATGTCTAATACTCCTGTACAAGATGGTAGCTGATCTTTACCTAACACCCCAAAAAACAAGGTGGAACAATCCAACCAAGAAAGCCTGGCAGTTCACTCTCATTGATCATACACCATAGTAAGCTCCATCACCACCAACTCCAAGTGTTTCAAAGTGTCCTGGTGCAACACAGACCAACTTAAAAACTCATTCTTCAATAAATTGAATCACCTTGATAAGAACCTTGTTCAAGCAGACTCAGTTGAGAGGTTTAAAACTCTCCTTAGTCACAGACCTCACTCAGATTAACACCCTGATATACATAACATGTACTCTCCCTCTCTGTTGCCAAAATTGGTTTATGAAACGTATACATAAAATTAAAAAGTCCACTAGAGCTACGCAACAAAAAGCATGTAAGGAGCTCTAAACTTTTAAAACAATTTTTAACTTCTCTAATCTAATCTTTCTCTAATCATGCTACTGAGACTATTGCATTGATAAATTAAATTTCACTTGGCAAGGCAAAAGATGATAAAATATCAACATCCAGAACCTCATCTGCTAATTTTGACCCTGCAAATTGCAGATATTTTTGACAGTTTTGATTAACTAAACCGTAAAAAACATAGTGAACTTGTCCTGATTTTGTTTAACCATGTTAGCACATTGAATTCTACATACTGAACTCTTAACGTTACTTGTGGCATCAAGAGGAAAAGAATTCCATAAACAGATGCAACATGATGACACCCTGTGCACAATCCCTAGTATGAGACTGGTCTGAGTGTGTTTTCTAAGTGAATCCCTCAATATTTTGACTCAGAATTTAATTAGGGACATTTATAGGTAAAACTAGTAGCCTCCATGTACATGTATGGAACTCTTTCCCTAAGGCCATGAGAAAAGAAACTGTAGATTTGCATCCAAACAATTTAAAAACACATGAAGCGTTTTTTACATTATTCATTATTTTACTTCAACCTCCAAGTGCAGACAGTTTTCAAGTATAATACTGCCTAATTACAACAAAAAGCCTTGCTGAGGGACAAGCCACATGTCAGCCCTTCATCAGTTCATGGATCAGGTCAAATAGGGATCATTGACACAAAAAAAGACCCAGGGTAAAAAAGTACATAATAAACAAATAAGCTTCCAAGTTCCAAGCCGATCATATGCACGTACGCGTGGGTCGTCCATGGCTCAAACAGACATCTGGGCACACAAAAGCCATCAAAACTGAGCTAATGCAATGCATAAATATGGTGTTTTATACAGCTGCTGGAAGATTCGGAACTCAGTTTTTTGTAATTTTGTGTCTCTTTCTTACAAAAAATGAAACTTTTGTAAATAGGCCTAGGCCTACAACTATGACGTTTGGGGGACGGTAGCGTCGGGACACACAGGCGGTGGACACAATCTACATGTACATCATAACTTCTGTTATCATGGCCTTAGTAGGCCTACTTCGTTGAAATAAGCAATGTAACCCAAACAAGTACAGTAGGCAGGTAGGTCTCGCTGGTTAGTGCAGTATAACACTGAAGTGAAAGTGGATTTTGGAGAAACAATGGCTCAGCCTCATTATTGATCATGACTCTGAGCATGATGAGCGAGTGAACGGGCAGTCCTCGAGTGATTGTAAGTGTAACTTATTGTTGACAAGCAAGAACTCCTTAGCACTGCATCTTTAAAAAATACAAAATAATAGCAAACACGCTTAAGCAGTCTGATCCCTGGGAATATGCCATACATACAATTAGTAATCGAGACGTTTCCCGGATTCCGAAGATCGCAAAGTTCCACACTTGTCGAATTGTCACTGCTCGGGCTGCGCGCCGGCTCAGGCATGGCAGGATATAAATGCAGGATATGCAGTGGGGAAATACAACAGCGCCACCAATAGTTGACATTCCGAAAGTGGGACCGTACGTTGCACGACCGGACCCCAGTTTCTGTCAAAGTGCCGGTACGGTACGGAGGTGGTGTGTTGACTTGACGAGGCGAGGAAACGCCTAAGTTCTAACAATGAATTTCAGAGACGACGAATTCGAAGAGGCCTGCCGTGAGTTAGAGAATCCTGAAATAAGCGAGTATGAATTTTTCGTTGAGTCTGCAGGTGTGCAGATCTACAGAAAATATCGCGAGGTTAGTTGACTTTGATTGACATGACTGACACCTTCTAAACTGAACATGTTTAAATTAAAGACTAGTTTTAAGTTCACGACCCAACTCCCAAGGCATACCCATCACTTCCAGTCTCATCCTCCATTCCTCAGCGTGCTTGGGCGGAAAATGTTTGTAGTAGCCTACACGACAGTTTTGGAATATACCATGTACATGTAGCTTCCCATGGGAGAATGTTTTATTGCCATTCTTGTTGAAAGCAGATAGAGCCTAGTAGTACTAGAGTAGTCATCTCGCCTCGTAGCTGGACAATGGAGAATCTTCCCATGTCAAACTTTGGATTTTCCCTTGTTTCATCATTCATTGCACCATACCTTCGTCAAAAAATTCCTGTCTAGAGCGATAATTAACGTAATAGTCTTCATGGAATCTGGTATTCCAGCATGCTCTTTAAAACTTTGACACTCTAACACTGAGTGGTAGGCCTACCTAGGAAATTTCTAACATCCATAACAGTGAAGTCACCAGGTCCCTTACATGTACTTCGCCAGTAAGACCTTTGCCTAGGCCCCCTACCCCAAGAACTGTGGGGTCTGATATCTGCCCCGCTTCCAAGGACCCCACAGTTCTGGGGGTAACTTGGGCTACTAGTTGACAACAGGTGGTGAAATTAGAGACCTGGCGACTATACGGTCATGGACGTATGACTTGACTCGACTCAAATCTCTCATGTTGACTCGACTCGAGTACAAGCTTATAAGAGTGGAATCTCAAAAAGTTAAAAGCAAAACTTTAGTTGACTGTCACCCTAAGTTATTTTCAATGTGTCTAAATGAAAATAAATATACCAAAAAATGACTTACATATAGTTGTCTTTTTATTGTATTTTACTCAAAAATTTGTGACTCAAATTGACTCCAGCTGGGTACACGACTCGACTTGACTATACAAAGTGCCTTGACTTGACTTCTTAACCTAATGACTCAACTCGAGTCACCAAATTTAGTGACTCGTTACAACACTGGTTCATGTTTAAACATACCCCTTGCAAAATTTTTGTGCAAATATGTTACCAGAAATTTATTCTTTCTTCTGTGTCAATTCGTATTGTTTTATTTTTAGTGTCATTTATTTGTAGATATTATAACTATTACTATTCCTATTTTTATTCTGGTCTCAGAATTCTGGCCTGTACGAATACAAAGTATTTGGAACTTTGGATGGAGTTGGACCAGAAGTTTGCTCTCAAGTTTATACTGATTTGGAGTATCGTAAACAATGGGATGGATACGTGAACAGTAAGTCTGATGACATTTATTAAGGAATTTGCAGTTCTTAAGTTATTAGCATGGGAATGTTTGAACATTTTTCTTTGTCTTAGACAATCATAATATCAGGTTCAAATGTTAGCAGAATTAAAGGTTTGACCATGACTGGACCAAACCAAAGCTATCAAAAAATTACTAAAATGCTTGGTTTTTTCATTTTAATTTTTAAAAAATGGTTAAAGCAAACAAGATGATTTAGATACTTTATCAGTTCTACACTATCTAGAACTTTACAGAAACAAAGTGAAAAAGTGAATGTCATAAAGCAAGTACAGAAAGTCATTGCACATGTACACCTTAGTTCTTTCAAATTACAGTAAGTGCCTGAAGACTGCGATTCCCTACTGTTTTCCAAGTTGCAACAGCATTTTGGCAAGGAACAATCGTATCCTTAATTAAATCTTGAAGATTTTCCATTTACAGGAGATCAATGTAATGTTAATACAGCCCATTGTACAGTAACTTTAGATTGGGTCCTCCCCCCATGGATCCAGCAAGGCCCCCCCCCCAAACCATTTGCAGGATCAGGATTATATTCCTGACTTTGACTTACTGTACCAGCATGTTCACAATATGTAAATTCACAATGAATATTTATGAGTACCATACCTTTAAGAATAATGCCATGAGGTGACAGGTGGAGTGAGGTGACTTCATTTCAAGAGGCAGTACCAAGTAGAATGCCTTGTCGCATGGAATACTTTATCCATCATCAAATAAAATAATTACTTCTGTTGCACATATGACTCTGCCTGAATAAATCCCCATATCACAGTCTTAAAGGTATGATCAGTTCGGAATGTTCCTGTGACTGTGGAATACAACTTCTATTTAGAAATTTTGGTGGGCAGCTCTACCCTGTTTTGGGATGAATAATTCAGTGCCATTAGGTCATTAGGTCTGCGACCCACCAATCAGATGACAAGGATTTATTTGGTGTTGTACAATTCATATCTGTCCCATTTATCTGGTGTAGAGTTAGAGTGGTTCACAGAGGGCGACAAACAAGGCATCTACTGGAGAGTGAACTTCCCATTCCCCATGTCATCTAGAGATGTATCCTTTTTGTTTCTTCATGAAATTGGAGACGAAAAAATTGTTTGAACATCTGTGAGGGTTTATTTTATAAATACTGAATTATATTGTATAAATGTTGAATTCCTTACCTACCTCACTCAGTACGTGTTCATTCGAGAAACTAGGGAGTTTGACATTGACGGCCAGCATATATGGGTGACTTTGGGCCGTAGTGCACCATTTGAATCGAAGCCCCCTAAGTCTGGAGTTATCCGGGTGGATGACTTTCTGCAGAGCATGGTCATTGCAGCCAATGGGGACAGTGGCACGAAAGGTACAAAGTAGTACGATAGCTGTACTTTCGTGTATGCCAAGTTCTGCATAGTTTGTTTGCTCAAAAGGTACAATATGTTAGCTACAACTGCCATCGTCATACCTCTGTCTTAATTCTGATTCTTCATTGGTCCAGAATAATCACATGACAGAGTGACATGACCACATGTCACACTCACCATTAGACATCACATCAGCGAGTGTTGTATGATATCTCACACGTAAGCAGATACCACCCGCAGTGCACAGGACAATACCGCGACCGCCTATTACTGATGATTAAAGATACCATTGCTGCCCTTAATTTCCCTTAGAAAAACAAGTGGCCGGAAAACATCATAAATACAAAGAATTGACAGAATGATAAATGATTGTTGTAGGATATGATGTCTTGAACACCTTCAGGCAGGCATAGCACCCTTGGCTTTGCCTCAAGCGCTATGCATCCTGCAGGTTTTCAAACCGTCATATCCCACATCAAAGCAGTCAACAAATGTGTTAGATGCAGATCTATAGAATTTATTCCCAAGTTGTAGGAATGCATTCCATCCAAATTTGAGCCAATTTATATCTTCAAATATACACAGAAAATTAATAATCTTCTTTAGTTTTCAGAGAGACTGTACGAAGTAAACCCTACATGTCTGTGTAAGACATTAAAAAGTGACATTTGTGGGCTTTGTACTTCAGTACAAGTGACACTGAATGGGAATAGTAATGTAGGTTGTGAAACGGCTGAACTATTGCTATGCATATTCATGAATGGTTCGCTATGCATATTCATGAATGGTTCAGCTTGCATTATCTCCTTTTTCATCTCCTCAGCATTCATGCATTACTATGATGACCCAAAAGGAATGATTCCAACGTGGTTAATCAACTGGGCTGCCAAGGTAGGCATCTCTGTATGATATCATTCAGTGCATTGACAGTGTCGATTGGCTGCTAAGTTGTGTGGGGGATATTTCCTCATCTTTCACGTTGGCTTGATTTCCAGCCAGGGTTATTTAGTGGATTGTGTCCCTGTCAGGGTTTGGTGGTCCTAGTCCACATGATAGCTTGTCTCACAGATCACTCGTCTTCTCTCAGTGCTAAGCTGGGACCTGAGAAAGATCAGTGCTACAGCAAAGGATTAACCCTAACCGCCCTCAATCCTTCAAAATCCTCCAAGCGGTTTTGAGGGATTTTGGAGGATTGAGGCTGCATGGCAAAATTGCATTGCTAATTGCAAAAGGATGCATTGTCTCAAGGTTGTGGGTTAGACCTCGTGCTGTTTATGTTCAGCCATGCATAAATTCATTGCCCCATTACGTGTCTGTGAATCCCACTATACTGCTACAGGATACCATTCACACTGCTTCAACATCTTGAGAGGAATTGGCAGAGGATTTGGAGGGATTGAGGGTGTATCCTAGCCAAAAGGGCCTTAGGGGCTTAGGGTTAATGTCATGTGGAGAACAAGCTTTTGCCCAGTGTGTATTGGAAACAAAAGAGCCTTGTGAAAGGAATTCTTGGAGGAACTGAGTCAGACATTTCATAATCCACTGTATCACACTCCCTTTTCTTCAGTCATGCCAAATCTAGAGCCAAAGTTTTCAGTATTCTCCCCAGTGCAAACGTGACCTTGTTCCTTTTCAAAAGCATTTTTTTTTCCAATGAGATAGATGTCCCAAACCCCGGAAGCATAGAGTTTCTGATCATCAAAAGACTCCATATGGATAGAAATTGGAGGGTGTTGTATGCATGTATATGGGGACAAGCCAGGTATTGCATGGAAGGGTGTGGATGCCCCATTGCAGTAGTGTTTATGCAGCAAGGCATGGGACATATCACTTTCAGTGCAAATAGCGACATGATTTGGAGAATGTGGCAAAAGCGAGTATTAATAGGAGTGCTTTGGGGTTTTTCCCCCCAAGAAATTGAGAAGGTAATCTACTGGCAAGATGTACACATGTATTCGAGTTGTTCATGTAACTCTATTACTTTCAACTGTTTTTCAGTCATCCATTTTTTTCGAATTTGCATTTTTCCAGACGGGAATTCCTGGTTTCATAAAGACCATGAGTGTGGCATGCAATGGCTACCCAGCTTACCTGGAGAAGACCAAGGCCAAAGAAGCTACTGGTAAAGAGACTAGCTAACCCCGCCACTGTATAATAGAATATAGCTAGTGGGCTTGTAAAATATGAAAATTATTGAAGTTGCTCTAAGTTATATACCACCTCAAGAACAAGGTAACAAGCACGGTTTGGGGTATTACAGAGCATTTATTCTCGATAGTAATGACAGGAAACAAGAATCCCCGGACATGTATCACTTTCTGATAATTTTTGTCTTCTTTTGTCCATACTTTGGCAAAATGCAACATTTGGCTAACTTACCTCTGATATAAAAATGGCACAGAATGCATTCATGGAACTGCCTGTTTTTGGATTGTTAAACCTAACCAAAGAATTCACATTATTGTATACCACTTCAATATTTTGATTTCTTCCAACCTCGTGGACTGGTGTACTCAATAGCAGCATATGGCTCATGCATGCAAGTAATTTTTTTTCTATTTTTAGAAGCATCTATGTTCAAGAGTTTGCATTAATATTCTCAGATTTTAGTCACAGTTACATGAAGAAAACAAGAAATGAAATGAAAAAAAATGCAGATGGGAAGTTGGCATTTTTAATACAGGTTGTAGGGAAAAAGCCCCTATCATTGGACACAGATTTTTAATGTAACTTCCATACAGCCAGCTTTCCAAATGAATTGCCATCATGTTAAATTCAGTCACATTGATCAGGATTCTTCCACTAAGGGATAAGTTTTTCCTTACAAATTATAGGGCTAATCATGTCCATGTCATCCAGTGTGTGATAAGACCATACCCTTATGCTAATTCTGCTACTTGCAACTGGAAAAGTGACAAAGAGCCTGTAATGGATGAAAAGTCTGATAAACTACGAGATACGTCAAGGTTAAGAACCTAACAATCAAAACTAAAACGTGCATTTGACAATGCCAATGAAATTGACTCAAATAGTTTATTAAATGTTATGTAATTATTCTGAATCTGATTTTTACTTTACATAGTGATATTAATGATGTCATGTTTTACACTTGGTGTATTCTTAGTATGGTTTTACTTGTATAAAATTAAGGATTTGTGGTCACATCTGCTGCAGATACATGTATTTCAAAGCTTGATACTTTAAGAAAATACATGTACACAGCTTAAGTATTTTCTTTTCGGGGGGGGCTGGGGTCATAACACCTTTTTGGTCTATGCAAATTAGATGGCCTTTCTATTCAGTACATTCATGTGTAATTCTATTGTACATTGTCTACTGACCAGAAGTGGAATACGGTCACAAAAAGGAGAACAAAAAGGAGAAAATAGAAAATATTCCATTGTTCCAATTTGGCAAATAAGTTTGTGTTGAATAGGTTCACAATTTCACTACTTATTTTATACCAGAGTAGCCTTTCAATGGATGCAATCTAAGTAAATGTATTACTATATATAAAATGCTGTGCATTTGTTAATGGTCAACAATTTTAGCTAATTTTAGGGACCATTTTCCAAGGTTTGGGTATAGCTAGCAATGGAAACGTTTTAAGGACTATTTTATCATGGAAATATGTTGATATAAAATTAAACCACGACTTAAATCATCGACTTGTGAATAAAGAGATGTGACACTGAACAATGTACTCTATGTACAGCTATAGGTACTTTTCCCAGGCACATTTTGTAAGATACGGACCTTGTATGCCAGTCTTATGCAAATTGATAGAACTTTCATCTGATGTGATCTTTCACAAAAAAGGTTGGAACAAGGCCTGGTACTGCAATTAACACTACATACTTCCACATACTGATAAAATACAAAACAGACTGTATCTTCAAGTGTCAGTGTTTCATCATTTGGTCACAGTAATGTCAAATATGAATCCACTTTACAATTGCTGCTCAATGAATCGATAACTACCGTGTACAGATGCTGAACTGTCTTCGGATGTGTTATAACACAGCATGTTTTTAATTGACAGTGTCTCTCTTGAAAGGACCCTCTATAGTGCTTTAAAACAATATTTATAAATTTATCATTAACATTGCTTGAACTTCAAGGGAGAATATCCCCAAACCAAGTACAAAAAATATAAACCTTCAAATAAAGTACTAGCAAGTATATATGAAGGATGAACAAACTTACGCCGGTCGTGCACAAATACACATTGTTAAAAGATTTATATGAATACATTTAACCACTTGCTGCGGGGGGTTCCAGAACCGGACTCCATGGGTTTATAACGCATAGCCGGGATACTCGAAATCGGACAAAAGAGCTGGGCCTCGTAACGACCGTACTCGGAACAAAAGAATGAGCTGCTGGGAATTGCCAACATTTTTTCAGTTGTCAATAGGGGAAGAAATCCGTCATTGTTTTGAATGATTACCACCGGGGTCAAAAGCACCAGCGATGAGCGATACAATACCGCTGCATGCTAATCTGGCCCCTATTGAAATGACGCCAGCAGTGCACTGTGCCAGTTTCGGGGGGAAAAAATCACACCGCACAATCTGGGTTCTTTTTACAAGGTGGTAGGCCTGGCTGAAATACTAGCCACCAGACAGTCATTCGTGTGGGTGTAAACGTCCAGTAAATGAAGTTATGAACTTTTGAAGAATTTTGAAAACCGAAAATCTTGAAAATCCCAGGGTATACGACATGCAACTTCAAATTAAACCCAGCAGTATATGGTTAAGATGTTATAAATACATGTATAGATAAATGTAACCAAGAGGTCTAATTTAAAAGAAAAATATTTTGAAGGAGACGGCACTACAGAAGAAGGTGAACCAGAGCAAAACTGGGATGTGGAAGTTTTATTTAGGTAATTTAAAAATTTACATCCAGTCAGCTGGTCTGTGCAAATTACAGAGTACCAAATTTAGAATTCACCAGAGTCTTGTATAAATTAAACAACAGTCAACTGATGGGTAAATCTGTGTCCAGAAGAAACAGAAACAATTTAAAAATAATTAAAGTTTTTTACAGTTCGATTTTATGACAATCCAATTCTAATCTTTGAAGGACACAATATGAGAATTTGACATATACAGTTTATCCTCAAAACAACTACCCCAGGTGTTTAAAGGTAATTTAATTACCAACAGTATGGTAGCAATTGTATTCTCAATTTGATAGCACAGGAATAAATTCTGCACTAGTGCTGATCAACGGTATAGCTGCTTACTACATGTACCAATTTTTGGCAAGTGCATAGGAGAAGTGCTCTTCATGAAGCTGGGAGTGGCTCTGCTCGAAAAGTGTGCAATCACGGAATAGGAAAACAATCGAAGACAATAGGACATTTCGCAAGCTGTATACAGGTTACAAGCCAAACAAGTTAAGAAATTTAGCTCAAAAATGTAAGGAATTTGCCAACAAAGCAGGATGATGCGTCTCCAGCAAGTTTAAACAGCATGTCACTGCATGAATGCTGCATAGCGCCTCGCTGCAGATATATTTGCATAAAAAAGCTACCACTAGAGGGCGTCATATTTAGTTACAATCACATTGTGAGAGAAAAGATTACACATGCACTGAAGGAAAGCAGGAAGTGAAGGACCTGTTGAACATACAATAGGTCGACTGGTCACATAAGCTTCAGCATAATTTCATGAGCAAAGGGACGAACACATTCAAAATACATCCTGCCATCTAGAAGTTTTTTTGAATAACAACACGTATTTAATCAAAAGACACTTTTTCATTCCTCAATTCCTTCTGTTCCTCATCGTCGCCTTCTGATGATCTCACTCCAGTGCAACTAGTTATGCTTAAGCCCACTTCTTCACGTCCAACTCCATCTCCATCATCGTCGGGACAACTACTAGGAAGCCCTGCCGGGGCAGAACAAAAAATGGGAAATGCATCTCTCTTCAAGAATAAGATTTCAACAAAATTTGGCCTTCTCAAAATGAGAAACTGCAGACTGGACACAAACAGTGATTGCTTTGGGTGGCAAGGTGAATCTCACTTCTCAAGATGATCCACTGAGCATTCCATTTTTCCCAAGCGTAGCCCAGTAAAGAGAATTTGAATAGTGTGCTCCACAGATCAATGCAGGAGGCTTGTCTGATGGCGCCACGAATTAAAGCAGTCAATATTTGTTTGGTAACACCTCAACTGCAGATTCTGAACTGTAACAGAGGAGAGATGCCAGCCAGACACTTGTCAAGAGCCTGAAATGAAGGCCAGAGAAACCTCAAAATACAGTAAAGGCTTGAACTTGGCCCAATATTTCAACTAAAAATGCCTGAAATCAAAATTTCGCCTGAAAACTAGCATCCCTGACAGAGATGTCCTATTATAAACCCAGATGCATTTTGAAATGGAGAAGTCACCACTTTTACATTGGTTCCATCCAACAAAAATTAAACACAATCAAAATATAAAGTCGACTCTCGTTATAAAGAACACTGTTACAACGAAATCCTGTTGTCAAGAACAACTTTTGAGAAACCAAATTTCTTTCATTCTCGTGTTTTCTTTGTTTTTCAACTCCTTTTATGTCCAAATCCTGGCTATGACAAAGTAATCTGTCTGGTTCCTTTAACATTGTAATTACGAGGGTTGACTGTACATGTGCAGAATACAAACACAGATGCCAGAGTATCAGCATGCCCAATGCTCTGGATCCTGGTCAGATTTTCAGGCACCTGCCCACACCAACTTAGCAGGAAGAGTTAATGGATCTAAGTACATACCATCAAGATCATCACCGTGAAGTTGTTGGTAGTGCTGATTTCCCCTGGGCTCCTTCACATGAAGAATTCTGCATTCACACAAACATTTTAATTAGAATGACGATAATACTTAACCCCTTCGCGTTGTAAAAATTGAGATCCTAAGCCCACTTTTCAGCTATTATTCTCGTCCCACGCTCGAGCGAACACGGTGAACGAAGGCAGACCCTGGCTCTTGCATATATGGTAATTGGTCTTTGTGCGTAGCCCAGAAATGAAAAGACCGAATTTGCATCATAATTACCAGCTTCACAATAGTCCCCACTTTGAAAAGAGGCAACAGGAATGTGGAAGCTTGAGTAGAGCTGCATGCCACCGGAAAATCAGCCTTTTCACCGTGTAATTCAAAGTGTGCAGCGCACGCAGGGCCACAAACCGAGAATCTGCGGTTTGGCAGGTGGCCTTCATGGCCAAGCGAGGTTGGAATTCTTGGAGTCGGCTTTCGGGAAGAAACTCCCATCATCAAGGGGTTAAAACCAATGTAATACAGCCTGTATACATGCGGCTTGAACTAGAAGCCCCCCTTAGAAATTTATTGACAAGAATGTGTCTCATTGGTTTCTATCAAAGTGAAGGATTTGGGGAGATTCAGGCATGTTCCTAAAAAAGGCTTCGAAGAAAAAGTAAATGTCGATTCAAGTTAAAATGACCTGCAGTGACCAACAAGTACTGACCATCATGCACAAGGCCTGTTGTAAGCATCACAGTTACACTATTTCGTCTTTCAACATTATATCCAATTACTCACAAGATAACAAGCCAGGCTGCAATGCCAACCGCAGCCATAACAAAGTAAACAAATCCCGGCATAAAATGCAAGGTGCTGGAGTAGATGGCATTGAAGATCAGCGGTGTCACAAAGGCAGCCAGACCACAGAGGCAACCACTGAATGCAAATAGAACACCTAGAAGAGAAGACAATTATTAGAT